CGTTGATGGTAAAGATATTGGTTTTTCTAATGCCCCTAGCCGGCATAGGTGCAGTCCACACGACAGAAGAACGAAACTGAAAGCGACGCCTTCTTTGCCTGAATGAAAACGCGCGAATTTCGATGGACACCCACGTAAGGCTTGTGAAATAGTATTCGATAATTTGTGGAAATTTTTTATTACTTTGATACAATTGATTATATAAACCATAATGATGTTTTCCAGTGAATAGGAGGTAAACACATGATATGAGACAAAAGTATCATAATTATATTGTAGGATAGGTGATAGTATTATCTGTATAAATTGAAGTTCGTGAACATCCGACATAACTTCAAACATCGATAACAGACAAATGGCATGTCTCATATTGTAGGCAATGTTCGAAAAAGGTCACTTATTCGATAACTATTTTTCTACGAATCTAATCAAAAAGTACCTGCCTTCGTTTTTAAACTAGTTTCCAGCACAGGCAATATCTACCTGCTATTGGAGAGCTGTCCCTGGAGTCTTTTGATGATAAAATTCACAAACTTCGTACAAAAAAAAACCCTTTTCGTAGCTTTTTTAATTTTCTTTGAATTTTATTGTCTTCATTAAATTAATATGAAGAAAATTCACCAGAGACAGAAGACAGTGTATAATAAAAATGCCCATTTAATTCTTGTACATTTGGATGGGATACCGCAGTGTTCGCTTTCTGCCCTTCGACTAATTAAGCTGAACCAACAAGTAAAGAAAGTACCGTTGAGATTCATTCCCTGCAAATGAACGAGAAGATACGCTTTTTGAATATGCGCGGTTTCGTGGAGTGAACCGCCCGTGAGCAGAAGAAGAAGTAAAATTTGCATAGACGACTCGCACACTTCAATCCTCTTACATAACGTAAATATGCTTCGTGTCATAAATTAAAAATAATGTAGTCTAGCAATAGTAAACGGCGAGATACATGACAGAGTCTTTGATTTCTATGCAGTTCTGCGGGGCATGGCCCTGACTCAACTTGGACGTCGGATACACAGTAAAAGAAGCCATATCTGCTACAGCCCTATGTTGGCACAACTAATGAACCGCCACGTATTATGATTACTTGTCAGTTAACGTTATTCTTAGCTTGTGGTTTACCATGGTCACTCATAGGCATAAGAGGGTAGTGAGAAGCAAATAGAGTTACCTTAAAATCGACACAGATAAGACCAGTCTCAGTATGCTGATTTCTGTGGACTGCGCAATTCTATTCTCCTTTTATTTATGTTTGAGAAAATCGGCCAGTCAAAATATCTAATAGGGTTCCTCCTCCTCCTCCTCCTCCTCCTCTCTCTCTCTCTATACATATATATTTATATATATATATATATATCTGAGCGAGAGATGTAAAAACCTTATGAATAGCTGGTACCTACCATGTGATGGATCCTATTTACAATTAGAATATTGTTGATCTATTATCATCATGTTTTTACTATTAGTGCAATTATAATCGCAAGCGCTATACCTACAAATAAACTGTGGTTCGCTCGCATAGTGGTACTAATCAAATTATCTAAAGAATAACCTTTTTTTTTTGGTTTATGAGCTACTTTAGCGTTGTAGTTTACCGCCATGACCGCTATCATTTCAAGGATGATCTGGCATGTTTCGATTGGAGGTAACCACAAACCTCGATGAAAAACATTAGCTTCCACCGTAAGAAACTGCTCTTACATCATCATATACCGGCTCACTACTGAATTTCGCTTCAAAGAGACGCTGTCTAGCAACACCCCGTAGCATCCTGCCGACGTGTGCTTAAACAGTGAATTAGGTACAATTACTTCCATTATTGACGATAGTAACCACTGTCATAATTATTCTATAAGCAATCGTAATTATCATGAGCCGACAAAGTACAACACCCTCTAACATAGCGATTTTGTTGTTGTCGCTGTTACTGCGTCCGTGGTTAAGGGCACTATTATTGTTGCGTTTGTTGATAGTGACTTTGACATATTCTAACGAACGCTGATTTATATTTGTTATTTTTTTTGGGAGGCTCTTGTAATGGCAGGTTTCTGAGCTGCGAATAAACGATTTTCAGTGCCGTCACATTATCCAGCGTCAGCTACCTAAAGGAGCCAACACTGCCAATGCCCTGCTGTTAATACAACACAGCATCCACGACACAATCAATTACCAGACATATATTCGTACAGGCATAGGCAAACACTCCCATATAACGGAGTACGTGGTGCCGCGATAGCTTCGCTTCTACATACAGGATAATTAATGTTACTTCAAACAAAGATAATGACGATGATTACTGGTACAACGACAAAGGCTGAGATACGTTCGTATATAGCGTCCTGCCTGTACCTAGGTCCATTCGTCGCAAGCCTCCTTGCGCAAACAACCGCAGTCAGCACAGCTTCTACCAGGGTCCGGCGGCGCCTGTGACTTTGCTGTCACGGCAACTGGTGCAGCTGGGCGCGATCAGTTGGTACCGTTGCTTCTGTTAAAGCTGTTATTAGCTCTAGAATTCGATGCGATGATTCCATAATGAATTGTGCTTCTGGAAAATATTTGCTGGGAAGGTATGTGTTGGTTAAGGACATACCAAAAGAGTTCGCGCTCACTCAAAATCTACAGCGTTTTATTCGATCGAGCACCAGACGATGATCGCGTTAGTCGACGACGCAGAACGCTAAGGCTTCTACAGTGACGATAACCACAAAAGTAACAACAACAGCAGATCCGTCGGCAAGCACAGCATCAGCAACCCCGCCAGAAATACTTCTAGTAAATGACGACTAGCCTGAACCAGACGGCCTACGCTTGTCTATTGATGTTGGCGCAGTGATCCTCCTATTGTTCTAGCATATTCTAATATTTAGCAGAAACGATAGCAACAAAGGACAAACCAGCACCGGTACTGACTGTATCAGGCGCTATACAAGTCAATAAGTAACTGTCATATTTCGCGTCAAGCGCAAAGGACGGCATTTCATCGGTCAGAGATTCCGTGAGTAACCACTACTCTCCCACCGGTACGGCCGTCGCTAATTTTCCAAATCCAACGCCAAAGCTTTTGCTACTCTGCCATGGCTCGACAGCGATATTATTTATTTACGCAGGTAATCTCCACGGTATCGGCGCGACTGCAAAATGTTTTTCAGTTCTATTAAATCGAATTTCTTACATTAGCGCTCAGCGACCCGGAGCCAAACACACGGCACAGCTGACGTCGGAGGTAAGGATACGCCGGTAGCGTGGGTGGACACACTGACAAATACAAACCACAGTTCAGTGAGCAACAAGTGAAGATCGCTTCTGTCAGAACAGCGACTTTTGCCCCGGGCACTTGCTGAATGAAAAGGAATTGCGGAAGCAGTCCGACATGGTCAATTGACTCTCCCGTTCTATTGCAATACGACTGTAGAAATATTTATTACATTCCGTATCAACAAAATCCGCTCGGTTGACAAGACTGGCTGAGTAGACTGATCGGCATAAGTCAACATCCTTAACAGTTCGTCGTATTGCAGTAAATACTGGATACGACGTTTGCGAACGCTGAAGCATTCCGCCATTTTAGCTGACCTGGTCAGTGGGACAATCGCGTCTAGGGGATTTTTCAATCATAGCAGACAACAATCGCATTTTTGATATGCCTATCTATGTGACTGGCTGTACTCATTATATGGCTGCATCATCCAATTGAATTCAACTGCTCATCGGAACGGACTCATCAGCCAGTTGTTAGGAAATGATGAGCGGAAGCTAGAGCTTTTCAGATGACGGGGGCCATGTAACTTTCTTCCTGCTTCATCAAAATGCTCGTGCGCAGATCAACGCATGATAGAGTGTGGTTGAGATGATTTCAACACAGAGTGCCACAGCGTCTGGCATTGTGGATTCGTCGTTGCGAGTCCCCAGCCGCTGGTGATTTGTGGGTTATTCCGGCAAAAAAGAGGGTCGTAAATTTGCGCTCTTACCATTGAAAACACCATAATGTATATTATTAAGAGAGGTGTTTTTGGTATGAATTTACATAAGATAACCTAGGGGTAGCAACTATAGATATTTGCAATAAATCCATTTCATATTTGCAAAAAAGCCGTTTCCAACGCTATGCAGTATTTCGAGAAAAAAGGGTCAAGTAACTTGGAGTCGTATTATAGATAGGTTGCATCGAGTTCATGAAAGTTGAAGATTTTTTGTTTTGAGATATTCGCGTTCCATATATGATTTGATCTACTCATTCTGTTCTTAATGGTCTCAACGATCTATAATATAAACATGCTTCATTCTATATACAGCCTCTGTGGCTGTGTGATAGATAGTGATTATGAAAAATACTATTTGTCTACATCTTCGGACTTAAACCTATCCTGCATTATTTTGAACGGGCTCAAATCGCTACGTATTGAGACAGGTTTAATACCCTGCGATACTCTGCCGTTGATTGTCGGTCAAAGACATACGTATTAGACACACAACCCTTTGAAATGCTCATCTTAATATCACTAGTGTAAAAAGTACTATGGAGATGCTTACGCGAATCTTGTCATTTACTCTCCTCGGCAGCACTTTCGTGCCTTTGATTAAAACCCAAGGCTACCCATCTCTTATTTCGGACAACCCAGTTACCGCAAAAATTTCATTTACTCGTCAGAATATTTTTCATTAATATATGTCTATTCTATCACAGAAAGCTATTCAATGTATCGTCGGTTTCGATTTAATCGGATATATAGCAGAACACTATCCATCATGTTAGCATACCTACAACTGATAATAGCGTTGACGCCCCGTACAGCGCTCCCTGACCGAAATTATAAGTGCCCTGCAATGGTTATTTGTAGTCCTATAACGCTAGGAGTCATGACCTACAACAAGTCAGTGTTTGATCATTTCAAAGTCGGCTAAATTTCCCTGAGATAGGCTGTCTCACTTGATAATCTAAAGCTCATTGATTAGTTCATCCTCTAACAAATACACTCAATTCAAACAGATATACTTACCCAAAACAGACGAGGAAAGAAAGAAATTTGCTGTCGTGTGTTTGTCCCGAATGCGCGCCGGGGGTGAAACGCTTAATGATGACGATCGGCGACACCCCGAATAGAAACGTAAAAAATAGAAGCAATAGCGGCGCGAGAATTTTTGCTAGGAATATCGCTGTATGGTCATCGTGATCATGATGGTCGTGCGCTTCATGATGGGGCGTCGTCGAGACGTTGTTCTGCGATGACTCCGCGCGCTCGCTCAGGCCAAATGTCAAATTGGTTAGAGATTCCATGACGTCTAGTCAGAGCTAGAGATTCTTTCTAAGATCGTTTTCGTAACAGACGGGACTTTGCTGCTATAGCCTTGCTTTTGTGGTGTGCCTGAAGCCGCGCAGCGAGCGGGGATTACTCAGATGGGTGTATAGCTTTCGGCTACCTGATGGAAAAACAAATGGAAGCAAATCATGGGTTAGAGTCGTTTTCCCTACTAGTAGCTTGATATGATGTCAGGTGCGTGTTTGACCTGACAATGTAAACTTGGCAAAAGATCCGACGATAGCATCATAGTACGTTACGTTTAACCTAGATGTGTTAGTTATAACTAGAAATAGCTTTACTTAGAGCTGAATCAATGCGATAACCGAAACACTAGTTCCGCAATCACTAAATATTTGCATGCACACGCCAGATAAACAAACATGTGAACAGATCTTACACAGAGAAATACATTATAATATCATAACCGTACGATGCGAAGCGCATGATTGTGCCGCCAAAACTCTGTCTGATCTATATTAGTGTGACAAATAATGTCCACGACCCGGACAGCTGCAGGCTGGCTTATCGCTAAGTGCGGGCTACCTAATCGAGACCTTTGATTTTTTATATAACTTATGTACTTAAGCTGCTTAAGAGATATCCCTCGGCGCAGCAACGGAACCTTGACAAACGAAAAGTGGAATAAACGCACGTTTTATACGTGGCGATAGCTTTGAAGAGATTCAGCAATTTCGAGAGCGAAGAGTTTAACATTGACAGTGTTCAATGGATATGTTGAAGCGCCTGTGTCGTTTGACTTGACTTCAGGAAGGATATTGTTTTATAAGTTAGGGTTGTTTTATAATGTAGAACACTATAGATACTTGATATTATTCTAGCAAGTACTGTTCCTCGTATTTTGTGTTTGCAGACAACTTTTGCTGAAGTTTGTTCAAAATGGATATATAATATCCACACCCCAAGCAGATTTTCTCCTTGGTACTTTTTAGCTAACAACAAGCAAAAAGCAGGCAAATCATAAATATAGATATAAGAGCTGGTAATAGTCTACTACAATAAGAATATCGATAATTTGCCATGAAGACGAGGATTTTATATGAATTGTCTATATTCTTTAATGATAATACAAAAACTATACCCTGAATCAGTTTTTCTCACACATTACATCTTACGATTAAAATATTCTAGAACTATGCCCACAATAGCACCCATGGATCGCCATCATCTACCGGCCACCCAGCTGGTCCATTGTTATCAAGGCTAAAGGAGTCAGCCCGTCAGCTCAGCTGATGCTGAAAGTTCGAATACGATATGAAGAGTTACTCTGAAAAAATGGGCACAGGTTCGCTATATAATGCAATAAGGATAAGAAGAAACACATTGTTATCTAAATGTATTTCTTCGTCTAAGTAAGTTGTTGAGTTTTACGTCCAATATTGCCATGAATGATTTGCCCGGGTCATATTGTTTCTATTCTCTTGATCTCTCTGGGAAACACGGTGCCATCGCACTATTAATATAAAGCTATTTGATGAAATAAGAGTTCGGTCAGTCTTGGTTTCATCTAAACAGCCAGTCTATCTCTCAACCGAATTGTTGCTGTCATTTACCGATCTAAACGAAGAAGATAGAATTCATGCGAAGATCAGCAATGTAGCGCGATGCGAATGGTACCGCCGCGGGAGCGGTGGGCCTAATGTTCGTGTACAAAAGCCCTCATTGTCGCGAAATACGACTGAAGTCTTCAGACGCCTGATGATAATACCTACATCTCTAAGAGCTTTAGGAATCCAAGGATTCGACCGGCCCCTTACAACAGAATCGATAGCTAAAAGGCGCACTTAGTAAGCGATTCTTATTTCGATCACAGCTCACACGAGGGCCTGTCGCACTTGTGCACTGAAATGACTGCTGTTACATCAATAGGACAATATTGAGTCGATAATGAAAAAAAGGCTTTTTTGTCATTCGTCTTCAAGCGGATGACTTGAGTAATCCATATCACGTTATGATTATGCCCACATTGCTCCACTACTAATAAAGTATTCTTCAAACTTTTTAAATTTGCCCTAAAATTACGGGAGGCTAAGGCCATTATAATGCGTCAGCTAGGCCTGTATAGGTTAATGGCGCATCCACAGAATGATAACAGAGATGCAAATTCTTTTTGAAAAAAAATTTGCAAAATGTTTAAAATATATTATTCTTTTCTCAAGGTGAATCAATGTATTAAAATTTTAACAAAAATATACAATATATCGTGATTTTGAAACTAAGCAATGAAAAAAAAGTAACAACAGAATGAAATAATATCAAGTGATTCATTTCGGTTTTTTTCCTACTGTAGCTAGATCTTCTATATGCCGTGAACGAGCAAACGCGGCATCGCCTCTTGTTTAGGTTAATCTGATGTATCGTCGCGTTGGTTGGTTGGTTGATTATAAATGCCTTTGTGTTTTTGCAAATTCGACATTAAGCTTAAATAAAACATGGCATCTATACAGACGACTGGAGGTAGTTGTGATTAATGTACTGGAAATCTTACTTACTCGAGTTCTATTCTAAAAAATTTTGACAACAATTTATTCGTACTATTCTACTTTCAGTTCACTCAGGTCTATGAACGATCGCTGGACCGTATGGACGATACCAAACTGCGCAAAATCCGCCTCGTGATCACAGTTAACACGTCTCAGAAGTTATTTGCGTATGCACAAGTTATAATGGTATTAGAATGCTCAAAGGTTGTTCCATGAAAAGCAGAGCTACAAAATGACTGTTTAAGAGCGCTGTATGTAAGAGCGCTGGATCTTTCAATATAAACCACACCGAGAATGTCTGCTCTCTCTGGGTGGTTGTATGTTCTAGTAAGATGTTGCCGCGACTAAAAGTAAAAACAAATATGGGCTATTCGAATCTTAGCCAAGCTCCTATTACATATCGAAACATTGTGCGGTATCGCTAATACCGCTTGCAGCATAACGTTAAATTTACCAATGCACTTAGTCAAGTGCTCGTTGCAAACATTGTGTTTCCTTATATCTGAGCCGATACACTCAAAAAGCTTCAAGACGACACCTCTATCGTATATCGTTTCAATCAACTAAATAACGTGTTTAACCCATTTGTTTGTTTGGTGGGCAATATATATAACTTTACTTTTTATAAAGTTATCACGGGCTACCAGGTCGTTCCAACGTGCTCGATCTCACCGAAAATTACTAGCCGACGGTATGTTGGTAGACACTACACAACGACGGGGTAGTCCTCGTAAAATCAATGAAACGTTTACACTGCAGATCAGTGCATAAATAATAATAATGGAGGCATCATATTATTATAGGTAGGTGCTAAAACAGGTTGGCTTTCTAACTTTGCAATAGGAATTAAGAAACAATTTATAGCGATCTATCTGAAAAGCGACCCACGCTGTTTGCTCTAATATTTCGATTTACTGCCGACACGTTAACCGTTTAACGCCCTGTCTATTCACATCGTAACTCGGTCAGCGACATACTCATTAATCGGCAAGAAATCTTCTTCTTAGTTGACTGGGGTTCCCCACAAATAAGCGATGGACCCATGATTGTTAATCCGTACTTCAAGTGAGATTTACCTTTGCCATCCTACACTAAATGATAGAACTATACATGCAACCGAGCTGATCGACTCAATCATCCGGAAATAGATATTGCGAGACTTAAATCCGACCCATTACCGAATCCACCGTTTCGTATGTCCTTATCGTCTGCTATTTTGCTGAAATAAGTTAAGCTGTATCGGAACTAAGTCAAGGTGATCTATGATGCTGCAATCGTAGCGGCGGGAAGTAGCTTAGTGGTTAGAGTTCTTCTTCTTTCAGCGAATGCTATCATTAGATGTTCAATGCACGTAATGGGCTAGATAAGAGATAAAAATCCGTGCAAAAAAAATTCGTTAATAACTGCGCCATATTTTTACATACGACGTTGACCAATATCATCGTCAGTGCCTACGTTACAATTCATCTTGCTGGTAATAGAAAAAAAAACTCTATTATTATTGTAGTAACTTCAAGTTACTCTGATTTTTTCATTCGTAAATGCTAGCATTATAATAATATAATGGCGATAATAATAGCATTTATGGAAGTTAGAGCTTTAAAGATGACAAATCAAAAAATACAATCGTTTGCAGTCACAAATAACCACAATCCGTAAACTAAATGCCCACTCACTTTTAGTATTACGAGAACCTCAGTTAACGATCTCAAATTGCAAATCTTAAATTTTGAGTTATTTTCAGTCCGCTGCTTAGAAATTCGATTCAGAGATGACGGTGTTCTAACACAAAAACGTCACCTTTCATATGCCCTATTTATCGTAAAACATTCTAGAAAAAAGCGCGTGAAATTCTGCGGTGTTAACGTAGTGAACTAAGTTAACAGAAGAATCTCAGTTTACTAAGAAGACCATACCAAATGCGCTTACGGATTCTATGCGAACTTTCTGTACATTCTCAACAGGGCTTTTCTGATATGATAGTAAATTCAATGCGGTTAAATATTTGAGATAAAATTGTTTTGTGGATTACTAGTTTCACTAAGTATAGTCATCAAGAAATGTTCGCTCATAATCATTAACGCAGGATGTACTTAGCATAGCGCAGGCTAACTTAGTCTGGTATCTGAGAGATTTTTTCGGCACTTGCCTCGGTCAGTTTATAGGGAATAAAATTTATTATTACTGTTATTATTATTATTTATAACCGGTGGTGTCCTATAAGAATTTCGAAGTAATATCGGTCCGATTGTAAAGGTAATCTAGATTTACGCCAGCATCCGCTATACGTATGCATTTGTGAAACAGAATGTCACGGCAGAGCTACAGACGATCGATTTTCTAGATCGATTTATAACTTGGATTAAATAGTTCTTGCCAACAAGCTTTGTCAAACTGTCTTCTACAATGATACAGTTATAATGGTCAATCGACGACTTATCCTCCGAATTTTCTAGTTGTTACTGCATAACACTGACTGACGTTACGTTTCAATGACGTTTTAGCTGCTATTGATAAACAGTGTCCTGTACGCACCGCCGCCAGAACATTCAAAGACAGCAAAAGTGTTTGGAGCTACTGCTTGCTGGACACATGCCCTTTGCTACAAAACTTAGTC